CCAAATTTTTAGTAGATAATGTATAGTATTTTAAATACGCGATTAAAGGTAAAGCTAAAATTTAGTAAAGACCTTAAGTCTATGGTAGTCCTCTAATAGTACTTTAAAATATCATCTAAACTATAGAAGGTAGGAGTTAAAATCGCTTAAACTTTGGTTTAGGCTTTGTTAAGGTTCTTATAAAGGGGTAGGGATATTAGCTTTTAGTATAACTAAGTTAAATGGTAACGTAAGGGTCTTTTACCTAAATAAGTCCTATATTATTTTATAAGGGATTCGATAGGATTCCGCTTCCTCTTCGATATAATATTGCTATCTTTTATAGTAGTGGGAGCTTATATATAGTAGTACTAAGCATCTTTCTATCGTCTAATCTATATTTATAAGGTATATCTATATATCCTAAAGGTTATTTATTAAGCTAGCTCTAGCGGTATTATATTGTTTAATATATCTTAAAAATTAGAACCTTTATATTTCTAGTAGCTCGTCTTTATTTAGATAATATAGAAGAGCGTTAATAGCGATATAATATCGATTTCTTAGTTATATAACCTATCGCTTCTTTAAATACCTTTTTCTAAGTAAATAACATTAGAAAGTGCTTTAAGGCGCTGTATCTTAGCGATATATTTATTAATTTATCTAGAGGTTATAGAGCAGAGTCCCGAAGACGCTAGGCACTTCCTAGTGCTTGCTAACACCGTCGAGGGTGGAGAGAACCTTAATAAGCTAGCTATTCGAATATACGTTGCCGGACTAGGCTATTGGCCCGGACCGGCCTAAAATAGCAATCGAGGCTAAAGTGAGGATATCGGAGAACGGGGTCTGATCTTGCCTAGTGCTTACTAGGTAGGGTTTTTGATACGGAGGTGTATATATGTCTCGTGAGAAGGAGGACATTAGAGAGGTAGAGGTGCATCCACGCATTCATTTTGTATTTATTGCTTATTAGCGTTGAATTTTTTATTTGTACTACGGGTTTTATAGGTTTTATAGGTCTAGCTTATATATACGGGCTAGTGCTTCCACTTTTTAAGAACCAGCCTCACTTTTTGTACTAGAGTATAATTAGGTGTTCGGGACACGAGTTCTTACTTCACCGGATAGAAGCGCCTACATAGCTATTACGATACTAGTTAGGCTCTAATAGGTTAATAGAACTTTGATTAATTGATTGATTGATGTAAAATATATTTAAGTTCTAGTTTCTTTTATTAAAATATCTACATTTTAATAAACAATTGAGTGTCACTTTTTATTAAGTAGAATTATTCCACCTTAAAACCAAAAGTCTAGTAGGTTTTCTACAGTTTATAAATAAACTTTTGTTATCTTCTATATTGTTGGTTCGCTATCGATAATTTAGTTAAATACTAAATAATTTATGAATATCACAACGAAATTAGAGAATTAAAAAGCTATAATATTAATTATATAGGAACTTTCTATTTTTAGTCATTATAACCTAGCAAGTATTTTAAAGCTATATTTATTAATAATAGAAGATTTCTACTTTAGGCTACTAATACTAATTTTTAAATAGTTAAGTATATAGATCACTTAAAAGATTTTGTAATACCTCTATAACTTATTTAACCTACCCTTATAAGAAAAGGTAAGGACTTCGTGGGTATATAATATTAATTACCTACTAATATTATAATATAATATATAGATATTCCGTAATTAGCTTTATTTTGTTTTAAATACACTTGTATCTATTTATCCTCTTCCTATATTTAAATATAATAGTAAATTTCTTTTTATTACCTATACTCGGACTATCTATATAGCTATTAATTATCGAAGAAATAATGGATATTTAATAAATAGAATACGCACCGATCTAGATTATAGCTATTAACTAACTAGAGTTAACTAATATTAGATAAGCTCTAATACTAACTCTACCCTAAAGTAATATAATAAACCATCTATTTAGTTTATCGTGTTTTATTTCTATTTAATATAGGCAAAGGATTATACTTTTATTCAAATTTTAGGCAATAGTTATGATTTATTACCCTCTGAATTGTAAGTGTCTTTACTAATTAATATAATATATATATCAAGACGAGTTTACGTATAAATAAAAAATAAGATAATGTCGCTTTTAGTCTATCTATATTAATAACAATTAAGATATATAATATATATATAGCTATCGTAATTTAAATCCTTCAATAAATTAAGTAATAATATTGTTAGCTTACTACACTTTAAATATTTTTTAAATAAGTAATTAATAAAGCTAAATAGAATATATACCTAGATTTGTAGATCTCTTTATCTTTTACATAAAACATTATAATCTTTATATCTAACTAATATTGGTATACCATTTTATAGTAGGTTTTCGACTTATATGTAGGGGTGATAGAGACTTAGGTAGACAATGTATTAAAAAGTAGGAAGTGCTATGCCAGGATACTAAGTGCCGCCCTCTAAACGAGGCCACTAATAATAGGTAATGTATAATAAGGAGTCTTAATTATTATCTTATGAATAGTCCTTTATAATAATATTTTCTAGACTAAATTACCTACTTCTAAATCTTAACGTATTCAGTAAGCTAGCAGCCTAACCCTAGACCTTATATATATATATATGTTTACTTAGGGCCGTTTTCTAACCTTTCCCTAGCCTTTTATTGACCGAAAAGAAAAACGGCTTGTCGGCCTTACCTTATTGAACTAGGAGTTAGGTTTATAATTCTTTTAACTATATTTATATAGGAGAATATTATGTATGAATATCATTTGATATAGAAATTTGTGTTTTATAACTCACTTAAGGGTCCCTTACTAACTTCTCCTATCGACGGAGCTATATATAATATAGTAATTTTGCTTCTAATCTCTTCCGATCGTAACCTTTTACTCTTTTCTATAAGTGTATAGTATAATAAGATCTATTAGCCTTGCCTTACGTGTCCTTTTCGTTTAAGGTTATAAAACTTATTATTATGTAAGCGACTATTCTATATATTTAGCCTAAACTTAGGCCTAGGGGCATTTAGGAGTAAAATAATATAAATATATTTAATTGATTTATTTAGATATAATAATATAGTTCTATCCGTATAGTCCCGTTATATTAGCAATCTATCCTAAAGGCTGCGCCTTTAATTCCTCCTCTAATAATAAGCTTATTACTAGCTCTATTCCTATAATACTGTAAGACTACGTAGTCACTAGGGTCTTATAGCGGAATAGGTTATTCCTATTGGCCGTATTAGTCTATTAAAATTATGCAGAGCAAAAACCTCTATCCTTAGAAGGGCGTATAGCCGATAGGTTCTTAACCTTTAGAAAACCTATCGTATATACTCGATGTAGTGTATGTTATATTAGTAGAAGATAAGAAGATCGTCTAAATAGATAATATAGAACTAATTAAGGAGATTGCAGAGAGCTTAATTAATATATTCTTAGAAGGTAGCTAGGGTATTCACTAGCCTGAATTGTATAACGGTATATTTAATATACCTATACTAAGTACGAAAGGCTATTTTCTATTCGTCTTTTCGAAATTGGATCCTATAATAGGCGTCCTAGAGATCTAATTAGGGAAAGATCTTAGTACCTAATAGTCGATCTATTATCTCGCTTACTAGCGGTAAAGGGTAGCGATCCTTAATAGTGATATTATTGAAATTTTAGTAATTATTATATAATTATAATAACCTATCTTTCTTCTTAATAAAAATAATCGGTACGCCTATAGGTCTTTAGGATAGTCGGATCTATTCTTTCGCTAATATATTATCGATATAATTTCTTAATATCTCTAGTTTGTTTAAAAAGAGTAACGTATTTCCCTAGCGAGCTAGCCACCCCCACCGAGCTAGCCGCCCCAAAACACCATAGTAAATGCGATAAATTACAACATAGTATCACAACAACGGCAAGCTATAGGGACTTTTCCTTAAAATCTAATGCTTTTTAGGTGGTATTTAGTCTCTAACGGAAGTTTAAAGAATTTCTATAACTTAGTAATTAAGATAGAATCAGATATTTATATTTCTAGCTCCATTTTCGATACCGTAACAATGCAAGGTTTCAGACTTCGTCAAAAGTAATATATAGTGTTGAAAAGCCTTATCAACATCTATCGGTAAATAATTAAATAAAATAAAAACGTGGTTGTTGAGATATCAGTGTAGAATATATCGTATTTACTATGGTGTTATGGGGTGGCCAGCTCGCTAGGGAAATACGTTATATAAATTAGCTAATAGGGTAGTTAAGTTCCTTCTTATATAATAATACTATAATCTAGATACGGCGACTAGGGTAGTTTACCTATATGTATTTTGTTAAAAATATTTTCGAAGTCCTTATATACTTCTAGGATAGTCTAGCCGATATTAATTATAGTATAAAGGAAAGAAACTAGCCTATTTATATATAATAGGCGTAGATATATAGCTATAACGAATACTTTAAGCATGGCTTTATTATAATAAGCTATAGCTAATATTCCTAGGACTCGTAAGGCTTATTACTACGGTAATTCTATATATTCTCCTTATAATTAATATCAGGGTTGACTAAACTAAGCTAATTATACATAAGAATTATATCGTATCCTTAGATATCGACTACTTCGTATATAGTAGGGTCTTCTCTTCTAGTTCTAGCACTATTAGTTTTCTTAAGGGTTATCTTATACGCGCTAAATAACTATATTATCTATTTATTGATAGCCTAGACTCTTCGCGGTATAGCTTAGCTGCCTAGGAGGTGCTACTTAGCCTATCTTTTATTTATAAAGCTTACTTTAGCTCCGCTATCTACGAGAATCGAGATAGGAATAGCCCTATTAGCGAGGCTAATAACTGCTTAGTAGATAATCGCGTTCTTTCCTTCTAGTCTTATCTTAATAGCCTATAATATAATTATAGTGAAATTCACTAGGGCTACCTATTTTTGAGCACTTCTATAGTAGATACCTTAAGGCCTATTTTCGTCCTTAGGTATGTCTAACATATATAGCTATATACTACTCTCTAGTAGTAGAGGCCTAGTATAATTATTACTATTATCACTATTATCACTATTATCACTATTATTATTAATCTCTATTAGATTATTAGACTTATCGACTAGCTCCTTGGTATCACTAGTTCCGTCTATATTAACCTTATTAGACCTTTTATCCTTCTCTTCCTTTACTACCTTAATCCTATCTATAGAGAAGAACTTTTATTCTCCTTTGCCTCCCGCTCTTAAGGTTAACCCTTAAAGTATAAAGAAATTTTATAAGCTCTTTAATTATTTTGGACTTTATACGACGGCGGCGATAATAGTAGATATTTCGAGTAGTACTTAAAAGTCGCTCTACGCTAGCACTAAATGCTAGAATCGAGAGAATATCCCGCGTAAGAGTAGCGATTATGAAAAAACAGCCTTCGTGCTTTTCCTAGAACTAGAGAGGCTTAGTATTAATAGTATCTAAAAGGAAGTTAGTACTAGATAGAAGTAAATTATGTTGATACTTACTACTATTAAGACACTAAGTCGTTTTATCCCTATTTAGCCTTACCTACGATTTATATCCACTTGATATCTTATTTAGCCTCGAGCTTATCCTTAATATAGAGTAAGAGCTTAAAGCACCTAGACTATATAAGATATACTCTTAGTAATATACTAGGGCTTCTTAGAAGGAGCTCTAGTATTTATCCCGCTAGTATTTATCCTAATAAGGAATATTAGAACTGATTATATAGATATACCCTTAAATGTCATTTATCTACAAAGTATATACTTTCTCTATAGAACTCGCTTCCGCTAGAGCTACTTTATTAACTTTTTAAGATAATTAAAGAGTACGTTATAAATCTTAAATACTAGATATATAGTGATATCTCGAGTATTTAAAAGCTTAGTTATATAGTTAAAATACAGCTTACTAATATATAGAAGATAGTCGATTTAGCGCTATTCCTTATTATTTAGTAGTATTTCTTTATAATTATACTCGATATAAAAGGGTAGAAATACCATATAAAGTCGCTTTACCCGATAAAGTATTAGAAATATTAAATTCTAATAAGTCCTTACGTCTTATATTAGGATAACCTTTAGCTCCTTTATTTAGAGTATATAAAATATCTTATAGCGTTAGGGGCTTATATTGATATATATCGCGAGATATTGGATTTAAGGTATAATAGATTTCCCGATTATAGCGTCGCGCGTTAGCCTAGGCTAATACTAACTATTTTTTAGTCTTCGTCTCCGTAGTATTATTTATACGAACTACCTTTAGATAACTAAGAAGCTAATTAAGACTTAGCTAGATAACGTAAGTAAGATAATGAGTTTAGATAATAATAATATTTAGTAAAGCTTACTAAAGAGAGTCGACTAAGGTCTTATTATTTAATATATTATTAATTATTAATCTAAATATCCGTGTCTTCTATCTTATATTTTAATATTATCTTAAAAAGAACAATACTTAGATTTAATCTACTATATAAGCTTAAAAGGGGCTGAAAAAATCCTTAAATTTAATAGTAGTAGTCGAAGAATAGACTATTGGCGGTTTATAATAAGGACTCGTAATCGCTCACAAATCATATTTATAGATGGGATTATTAGAGGTAAAGGTATAGAGTAAGCCTTTTTCATTAGACTACGGAATATCGGATACTTAATAAGATAGAAGGAAAGCCGGTTAAGGGTAACAAATTACAAGATCTATTCCTCCTAGTCTAATTAAGAGAAAGGAGTGTGTGTTAGTATTTCTAAATATTAAGTTTAGGATATATTAGTAGAGTAAAAGTAAGACTATAACTAACAATATACTACTTTTTTAAGAAAGCTTATAACCTCTCTATTTTTCCTTCCTATAGACCTTTAATAGCTTATAGGTTTTTGTCGAGATCATGTGACCTTGTTGGTCATATGACCCTGGATGGTCCTGAGAGTAGTCAGATAGTCCCCGAGGGGTTGGAGCTTCTCTCCTTCCCCGTCCGTGTCTTAGTCAACAAATCATCATTTATTGACCGTTTCTTTCCCTCGTCAAGAGTTTTAGATACTTTACTATAGTTAATATACCCTAATAACCTTTTTAACCTAGTCTAATAAAATAAGGGTGCTTAAGGGTCTTCTTGTAGCGCTTATATATAACCTTTCGTGGGCTATCTATAATTTAAGTAACTTAGTAAAAGCTATTCTTGTCAATATAAGCGTATTATTAAAAAGCTTATCTTATCTTGATCTAAGCTTATTATCAAAAGCTTAATAACTATTACCCCTAGAAGGTCTATTAATTGTTTAAACCTAATAACCTTCCTGTGATCATTACATTAATGGTCTTCCGACCTATCTTGTGACCTATAATTTGTAATACGTTATAGAACTACGCGATTCTACGCGATTCTATTAGGTAAACTGGTCAGCTATATATAGGACCTAAAAGAAGGGTCCTAAATTCCAAGAATCATCATCTATAATTATTTTTCAATCAATTGATCTACTTCTATCTCATACCTTACTATCTCACCGTCGCCTACTATCGTGACTATTATTTCACCTCATCGTCGCTTATATAATATATTATTATATAAGCCTTACCTTATTAAACATAACCCCTAAGCACCACGTCACCTCGTGCTCATAATTCTAAATACTAGTATAGCGGGCTATATTCTAGTAGATCTTACTTTTCGCCCTATAATTAGTTTATAGCCACTCCTTAACCTATTTAGTATATTCTATAATGTTATAAAGAATAAAGGCTTTTCTCTAGTCAGGCCTAATATAGGTAAAACAAGGAGGGATAAGGTAAGGATTATTCAGTTAAAGAAAATCATTATAAAAGTTATAGAATATAGCCTAGCTACTAGATAGAGTCGCTAGGTAATTCGATAGCATAAGATATAATACGTCACCTATATCTCTATTATAAACAGAGGATAGAAGATTAGAGTGCTAGCTTTAAGAATAGGGCCTTAAGGAGAATAGCTTAAGGATAAGGGGATAGGGATATAGATAATACCTATAAAGTCTAGGAAGTTAGCTCCTAAATAAAATTGATATAACTAGGAAGAAAATATAGATGTTAAAACGAATATATTAAATAAAATAGCTATTAATTAGCTAGATAACTATATTTATATAGGTCTAACCTAACGGAACCTAACAGGATCATAGGAAGCCTAAAGAAGACCTAAAGAAACCTAAGAAAACCTCGAAATAACCTAATAATAGCCTAATAATAACAACCTAATTCCCGCCCTAATTTTTAAAATAGAGCTTGTAAAATATTTTATTATACGTTAATTTACCTCTATTTTTAATAATATTTTTAGTCTTAATAGATATAACTCACCCTGTTTCCTACCCTTCCCCTATATATTTATATAAAATTAAGATATATATAGGTAAATTAATAGCTATTAATTTAGTATATAGGTGAAATATATTATTTAAGTAAGTTTATGAGCGGTTTAAGTTAAATATATATATTCTATATATATATTAACCACTATAAACTAAATCACTTAATTACTATAATTTATTAATTTCTATCTACTCCTTAATATATCTACTTAATTAATTAACCGCTATATAGCTATATTTAGTGAGGAGCTGCTATACTAGTAGGGTAGTTATAGAGGAGATAGTTTTTTTAGTTAAAAAACCAAAGTATCTAGCCGTACGTAATTATTATGGATATACTAACGTATTTCACATGCGAGCCGCCCACTTAACCTAACCTATCAATTTCAAATGTAATTATCTCAACCAAAACGTCATTAAATTTAATAAGCTAAAAAAGAGTTCTATTAGGACATATAGTCAATTTATGACCCTGAATTCCACATATACTGCACTTCGGTAAGGCTCTTATACGTGGCTATAAGGGTGTCGGAGCGGATTCTACCTTACGCGGTATTTGTGCTAAAACTGCTTGCACTAGCTACGCTACTAAGGTAGAGGCCTCTAAAACCGAAAGGCCTTCTTCAAAAGCTTTTTGCCTTTTAGACCGAGTCCTTTTTCGCTTCTTCGTCTCGTTTTAAACGCGTAATTCGCTTACTTCTTTCTCGAGTAAAGCCGCCGATTATATCGTAATTTAGTAGGCTTTTAAAACCTGATTTATCGCGGAGTTAAGCGGGCTTAGTAGGCTTTTTAAGCGCTATTTTAGCAAAGCTTTAATTAAGGAGGCTTATTTTTATAATTAGATATAGTTCGACGGCGTTTTTAGCTCCTACTCACTACCCCGGCTCGAAGGGGGGTCGGCGTACGGAGGTAGATATTAAGCTTCGAAAGCACTCGATTAGGCCCGTAAGGCACTAAACCCGCCGCGGCGAAGCTATTTTTAATAGTCTCCGATTTAAATGCCTCGATTTATGCGGTCGGATAGGCTTTAAGGAAGTCTAGTTTATCGATATAATTAATCCCGACCCGTATTTTTGACTCGATAAGCCGACTATACGCGCGTTTTAACACCGTAAAACAGCTAATATCGAGAGGCTACAAAAGGTGAGACGAGTGCGGAGGTATATAAATTGCGATAATATCGTTTTTCTCGTAAATTTCGTCGAACTTCGGGGTTAAATAACTCCCGTGGCCGTCGAGGATCAAAAGTCTATACTTCCCCTTTATACGCGAAGTAGACGGAATAAAGAGCTTTTCGAGCTATTAAAGTGTAATTTTATCGGACGTCTACCCCTTAGGACTAATTTCGATTCTCTAATCGTCCGGAAGGCCCTCGAACTAAGATTCGATAAAGACTTTGCCCTTAAAAATCACGCACGGAGAAAGCGCCTACCCCGACGCGTTTTACACTTAATTGTAGTCACCTACGTACGGTTTCCGGGCTATAAAAGCGATCGGCGGCTATAGAATTCCCTTCTCGTGATAACCTTTACGGTTATAATTAAGCCTATTGCAAAACCGGTCTTATTAAAGTTATAGATATCGTCGGGATCAATACCGTACGAAAGGGTAGTCTTTTAAACGAGAGAAAACTATTCGGAAATAACCTTTAGGTCTTCGTATTTAGCTCGCTAATAATCGTAGCGTCTCGAGAATCTACTCGATAGGTCGGAATATCTTTTCACCAATTCTGTAACCTAATTTTTGCCGACCGAAAGAACCGGGGCAGATCCACGCGATACGAGTAAAAGATTGGCCATTTCTCGTATAGTCGAGTGCCGAGGGGCTCCTCCGCGAGAATCCATTGAGAGTACCTATTTTAGAAGTGATTTTTCTTCAATTTCCGTCAATTTATAGCTATTAGCGCGGGTTTTAGCGCGGTTTTTAGTGCCTCGAAGACGCGTACGGAGTGTCGATTCCGGCACATTAAAACAGTGCGCTACTCCACGTAAAGAGGTAAATTCTTGCTTCTAAATAGCTTGAATAGCTAATAAGATCCTATCCTCTTGTTCCGTACGTTTTTGAGAGGATTGAGTACGAATTAGTGGCATAGTGGGTGTTTGAAGAAGGAAGGTCTAATAAATGACGCGTTTTTAGGTGGGGTGCGCAGCTCGGCCGGGTGCGCAGCCCGACCGGGAAATACGTTATAGAACCCGAATAATAGTAGTACTATTATTAAGTTCTAATAATTAGACTAATTCCTAGATACTAGACGTTAAGATATTATTATTTAAAGCATTATTAGTAGTAATAGTAAGGACCCTCTCTATTATTTATACTACTAGAGTAAATTAAGAACTATAGCACTAAAGAGTGGCTTAAAACTAAGTAGAATCTCACAATAGTTCTAATCTTAG